TCCAGCTTCGTCGGGCGATTTTTTCCAGAATTGTTGAGCTTATCCATCTGGCGTCATCACTGTGAGCCCAACAGGCGAGGACAGACCATTGTAATTATATAACAATAGATTGTTATAATTGTTTTTTTACCCTTTTATTTGGCAACAAAACCGACACCTTTTTTACAAGGAGTCATGTTTGCATAGACCACAATACCTGCAGTCATAATGCAAAAAAAACATAACTCTGATAATGTATGCGCTGTCCTTGAAGTTGATTGGTCCACACTCGAGACAGCTTTTCGTAGAGCCTAGTCTCACATGGTGTTGGACCAGATGGTGTAAATGCTTACCCCGAGCTCTCATACTCTGATGGTGCATTGTCTTTGAGTTGTGCGCCTTTTGGAGTCATCTGGTCCAACATCATGTGAGACTAAGCTCTAAGGAAAGCTGTCTCCGGTGTGGACCAATCAACTTCAAGGACAGTGCATACATTATCAGTGTTAATTTTTTTGTTTGCATTATGACTGCAGGTATTGTGGTCTATGCAAACATGACTCCTTGTAACAAAAAGGTGTCAGTTATGTTGCCAGATAAAAGGGTAAAAAAACAATTATCATATTTTTTACTGGCAAATGAGGTTCCAATGGTGGAATATATTGTTAATCACAATTAATTCGTATGTGATGCCTTTACAAGGCATGCAATTGTCGGGTGTGCACTAAGCCTGTAGCTGTCAGAGGCAGGGCCGGGTTAAGATAATGTAGACCCTCTGGGCTATAAGGCACTGTGAGTGCCACCAGGAATATTTTCAAAAGGAAAACAAAGTGAAAGAAAAAATTGTAATTTATTTTGTACAAGGCTAACAATAACTGAAAGTCGGCATTCACAAACGAAATAACTTTTTGATTTAAAGATTTTGTGACTGCAGGGATTCATGTTCTTGATTCTTTCGGTAAAGTCACGTAGAAGGGAAGTAATAAAATAATTAAAATATGAAACAATAAAAATTCTCACGACGTTTCGACTGCAATTATTAAAAACAAGATTAGGTTTTTACCATTTCTGGAAATAAAACACGAGGTGTCAAGATGTTGAAACACCAAATAGAAACCTTTTGCAAGGACTCGAGTCAGCAGTAACCACACACAGTGCTTGTGGCAAAACATGCACACACGCATTCTCATAACAATGCATTATATTTTCTAATTTTCTTCGAAACTGAATTTCCTACACCAGAGACAGCTTTCTCTGTGGCTTCATCTCACCGGTGTTAGACCAGAAAATGCCAAAAGGCAAATTGTTTGCCTAAACCAGAGAATGCCAAAAGGAAAATTGGTTCATCCTAGATTTGAAGCTTTCGTGACTGCAAGGATTCATATTCTTAGGTTTTTTCGGTAAAGTCACGTAGGTAAAACATTTAAATTAATAAAAGTAAAATAAAAATAAAATAAAAATTACGACGTTTCGGAGGCAACACAAGCTTCCGTCTTCAGGTGGAACAGTCACTTGATACAGCTATCGTGCTGTGACTGTTCCACACGTGCTTACACAGTCCACCCACCGTCAGTATTATGTACGGGGGGGGGGACTTCACATGAATTAGGCAGTTAGAAAGTGCATTTAAAAAATAATCAATATGCAATATATCGTAATAGCCATTCATTGCTATTAGTGTAGAGGCTGAATCAGGAGATGATGCTATGAATGAATAGCAGCATTAACAACTTCGTTTCCAAGGTCGGTCAGACACCGTAGAACTCACCACTGCACCCTCAAAAACCCCCCTGCAATGTAGATGCTGTATGTTTAACTTCTTTTGCACCGCACGTAGCCAACCGCACTAATCGGAAGTGGTTTGAAATTGAATAGCTCCCAGTGGCTTGCTAACATCGGAAGGAAGAGCGTTCCAGACGGCCGAGAAAAAGAGAGAGAGAGAGAGAGACGCAACCTCCACAAATGACAGCTCAAAGAAGCAGCCAAAGACTCGAAACGCATGTTTAGTAACCCCGGAAGAACTGAAGAAAAATCTACACGACCACGGGGAGAGAGAGAGAGACACGCAAACTCCAAATATACAGCAGGCGTCAGGGTCGGGATCGAACCCATCACCTCCTGTATAGAGCTGTAAACCCAGACGCTTTATCCCGTTTTCTCGCGCACGGAGAAATTGAGTTTTCATGTCCATACGGCGTACAGCCGTTTCAATACAGGCAAAAATTGTTATCTATTTGATTGCGTTTCTACCTTGTGATGGGACTTTGTAGGATGAACGTTGACATTTATAAGGACACGGGGTGACCAATAAGGTGTTTGAATTGGTCTGTCATAAGGTAGGGCACTGATATGGGGTTGACAGGTATGTAGTGGTGAGTGTAGTGGTGAGTGTAGTAGTGGTGAGTGTTAGTGGTGGTGATTGTAGTGGTGAGTGTACTAGTGGTGAGTGTAGTGGTGAGTGTAGTGGTGGTGATTGTAGTGGTGGGTGTAGTAGTGGTGAGTGTTAGTGGTGAGTGTAGTGGTGGTGATTGTAGTGGTGGGTGTACTAGTGGTGAGTGTAGTGGTGAGTGTACTAGTGGTGAGTGCAGTGGTGAGTGTAGTGGTGGTGATTGTAGTGGTGGGTGTAGTGGTGAGTGTAGTAGTGAGTGTAATGGTGAGTGTAGTGGTGAGTGTAGTGGTGAGTGTACTAGTGGTGGGTGTAGTGGTGGTGAGTGTAGTGGTGAGTGTAGTGGTGAGTGTACTAGTGGTGAATGTAGTAGTGGTGAGTGTAGTAGTGGTGAGTGTAGTGGTGAGTGTACTAGTGGTGAGTGTACTAGTGGTGAGTGTAGTGGTGAGTGTAGTGGTGGTGATTGTAGTGGTGAGTGTACTAGTGGTGAGTGTAGTGGTGGTGAGTGTAGTGGTGAGTGTACTAGTGGTGAGTGTAGTGGTGAGTGTAGTGGTGGTGATTGTAGTGGTGAGTGTACTAGTGGTGAGTGTAGTGGTGGTGAGTGTAGTGGTGAGTGTACTAGTGGTGAGTGTAGTGGTGAGTGTAGTGGTGGTGATTGTAGTGGTGAGTGTACTAGTGGTGAGTGTAGTGGTGGTGAGTGTTAGTGGTGAGTGTACTAGTGGTGAGTGTAGTGGTGAGTGTAGTAGTGGTGAGTGTAGTGGTGAGTGTAGTGGTGAGTGTAGTGGTGGTGATTGTAGTGGTGACTGGTGAGTGTACTAGTGGTGAGTGTACTAGTGGTGAGTGTACTAGTGGTGAGTGTAGTGGTGAGTGTAGTAGTGAGTGTACTAGTGGTGAGTGTAGTGGTGGTGATTGTAGTGGTGAGTGTAGTGGTGAGTGTAGTGGTGAGTGTAGTGGTGAATGTAGTCGTGAGTGTAGTGGTGAGTGTAGTGGTGAGTGTACTAGTGGTGAGTGTAGTGGTGAGTGTAGTGGTGAGTGTGCTAATGGTGAGTGTAGTGGGGAGTGTAGTGGTGAGTGTACTAGTGGTGAGTGTAGTGGTGAGTGTAGTGGTGAGTGTAGTGGTGAGTGTACTAGTGGTGAGTGTAGTGGTAAGTGTACTAGTGGTGAGTGTAGTGGTGGTGATTGTAGTGGTGAGTGTATTAGTGGTGAGTGTAGTGGTGAGTGTACTAGTGGTGAGTGTAGTGGTGAGTGTGCTAATGGTCAGTGTAGTGGTGAGTGTAGTGGTGAGTGTACTAGTGGTGAGTGTAGTGGTGAGTGTACTAGTGGTGAGTGTAGTGGTGAGTGTAGTGGTGAGTGTAGTAGTGGTGAGTGTAGTAGTGGTGAGTGTAGTGGTGAGTGTAGTAGTGGTGAGTGTAGTGGTGAGTGTAGTGGTGAGTGTACTAGTGGTGAGTGTAGTGGTGAGTGTAGCGGTGGTGAGTGTTAGTGGTCAGTGTACTAGTGGTGAGTGTAGTGGTGAGTGTAGTAGTGGTGAGTGTAGTGGTGAGTGTAGTGGTGAGTGTAGTGGTGGTGATTGTAGTGGTGACTGGTGAGTGTACTAGTGGTGAGTGTACTAGTGGTGAGTGTACTAGTGGTGAGTGTAGTGGTGAGTGTAGTAGTGAGTGTACTAGTGGTGAGTGTAGTGGTGGTGATTGTAGTGGTGAGTGTAGTGGTGAGTGTAGTGGTGAGTGTAGTGGTGAATGTAGTCGTGAGTGTAGTGGTGAGTGTAGTGGTGAGTGTACTAGTGGTGAGTGTAGTGGTGAGTGTAGTGGTGAGTGTGCTAATGGTGAGTGTAGTGGGGAGTGTAGTGGTGAGTGTACTAGTGGTGAGTGTAGTGGTGAGTGTAGTGGTGAGTGTAGTGGTGAGTGTACTAGTGGTGAGTGTAGTGGTAAGTGTACTAGTGGTGAGTGTAGTGGTGGTGATTGTAGTGGTGAGTGTATTAGTGGTGAGTGTAGTGGTGAGTGTACTAGTGGTGAGTGTAGTGGTGAGTGTGCTAATGGTCAGTGTAGTGGTGAGTGTAGTGGTGAGTGTACTAGTGGTGAGTGTAGTGGTGAGTGTACTAGTGGTGAGTGTAGTGGTGAGTGTAGTAGTGGTGAGTGTAGTAGTGGTGAGTGTAGTGGTGAGTGTAGTAGTGGTGAGTGTAGTGGTGAGTGTAGTGGTGAGTGTACTAGTGGTGAGTGTAGTGGTGAGTGTAGCGGTGGTGATTGTAGTGGTGACTGGTGAGTGTAGTGGTGAGTGTAGCGGTGGTGATTGTAGTGGTGAGTGTATTAGTGGTGAGTGTAGTGGTGAGTGCAGTGGTGAGTGTAGTGGTGGTGATTGTAGTGGTGACTGGTGAGTGTACTAGGGGGTAAGGGGGGTGCCTTGGGGAGGGGCGGGGGGTGCGGGGAGGGGCGGGGGGAGGGGCGCGGGATTGAGGGGAGGGGCGGGGGGGAGGGGCGGGGAGGAGCGAGAGGGGAGTGCGGGGATGGACGGGGAAGGGCGGTGGGGGCCCCCCACCCCATTGGGGGGATGATAGATGGGGGGTGGGGGGCAATGGGGGTGTGCCACCCCCGCCCCCCGTTAGCATGCGCGGCGATTCACAAGCGCATCCTCGCGTCGTCCCCGAAGCGAGCGGCCTCGTCTCTCCTCCACCCGGCACCTGTAGCGTGCGTCAACAGCAGCGAGACGAGGGAGACAGTGGAGGAGGAGAGGCAGAGGAGGAGGAGAGACACGAGGAGGAGAGACACGAGGAGGAGAGACACGAGGAGGAGGAGAGACACGAGGAGGAGAGACACGAGGAGGAGAGACACGAGGAGAGACACGAGGAGAAGAGACACGAGGAGGAGGAGAGACACGAGGAGCAGAGACACGAGGAGGAGGAGAGACACGAGGAGGAGAGACACGAGGAGGAGGAGAGACACGAGGAGGAGGAGAGGCACGAGGAGGAGAGACACGAGGAGGAGGAGAGGCACGAGGAGGAGAGACACGAGGAGGAGAGACACGAGGAGGAGGAGAGACACGAGGAGGAGAGACACGAGGAGGAGGAGGAGACGACCCAGGCAAGAATGATCTTCGTGTGACAGTGGCTAATTAATGCGTGGGGAGGGGGGTAGGGGGGGGTGCGTGTGGAACTTCTCGCCTATTGTTCGAATGAACCATTGTCATCAGCGTTAGTTCGTTTCTCGAAATCCTTCCGGAGTAAGTTATTTATACATCACCGTGTGTGAGACAGAGCGAGAGAGGCAAGATAACGGGTGCGCACGCCCGCGTATCGCATTCAAATCGGTCGCTACTTCCGATGACAGCACTTGCCCCAACAGTCTGTTGAGGCTATACGGGGAAGGGGTGGGTGGAGGGGATATTTGTCTGTTGTGTGCCGTGTAGGGGGGCTTTAAATAGGTGCTCGCTAACAGCACTTGCCCTCCCACACAGCTTCGCGTAAGGCGATACACGGGAGGGATCTTGTAAAGTGTTCTCGCGTGAGTGCTGTGAAGGGTGCGCCTTTTAAGAAGGCAGTCACGGCTCCGTGTTGTTGTTGTTGTTGCTGCTGTTGCCACAACAACCGAGGCCTGGCCGTCTTTGTCTTCCTCCCCCCTCCCCCCACAACAGTCTTGTCGTGAGATATTTGTTGTTGTTGTGGTGGTTGTTGTTGTTGTTGTGTCTACGTGCGCGCGCTCTCTGGAGGTGCTACATTTTATTGGCATCATCTACAAGTCTGGGGTGGGTGGGTTGGGGGCGTGTTCACAGTTAATATGATGGTGGGTGGTGGTGATGATGAGATTGTGATGACAGAGATGTGATCAGATCTCTCTTCTCCCCGACTCTGCCCCTCGCATTAAACCCACTCGCATCGCAAGCCGCGGAGTTGGGCCACGCCTGCTTTCGACTCTGTGCAAAATCTCCTTCAAACCACCATCACCAGCATCACCACCACCATCATCATCATCGCAAGAGAAGACAGAGCGACATCCATGCGATGAACACTGCGAAATAAGTAAGTGCTCTTCATGGTTTATTTTTATTTTTTTGTTAACACGTGAATATACTCTCTGGTTCTTTCGGTAAAGTCACGTCGGTATAAAATAAAACAAATTAAATTTCGATTTAAAGCTTTTTGTGACTGCAGGGATTCATCTTCTTGGTTCTTTCGGTAAAGTCGCTGTCGCCTCGACAGACCTGGTCTTCACCTGAGGACGGCTGCTTGTGTTGTGGCCGAAACGTCGTGAGAATTATTTTATTACGTTTTATTTTTATTATTTTATTACTTCCCTTCTACGTGACTTTACCGAAAGAACCAAGAAGAAAAACAAATTAAACCACGACGTTTCGGGCGCGACACACGTGAACATAGGTGCGTTAGGTGGGTGTACCGCTTAAATGTTGGTGTCACGATCAGTCGCGTGCAGAGACATTTGGGCATCGTAGGATGGCTCTCGAATCTTCCTCGCTTCAACACAGAGCACAGCGAGACAACGCGGCCTTATTGTATTTTAATCATGCGCAGCAAGTGGAGAACTGCTGTGTCTGTTATTTACAACAACAACAACGCCGATTGCTTTTCAATTGCTTCGACTGGCTGAGCAGTGTCGGCTTTTATTTTTCGCGTTCGGCGTCACGGTGTTGGGATAAAGAGTGCCGGGAAGTGACCGAGGTTGTTTCCATCGTAAACGGCGTGTCGTGTAAATTTCGAATTAAAGCTTTCGTGACTGCAGGGATTCATCTTCTTGGTTCTTTCGGTAAAGTCACGTAGAAGGGAAGCCACAACGCAAGCAGCCGTCCTCAGGTGAAGAACAGGTCTGTCGGAAAGACAGTGTCTCATTCAGACACTGTCTTTCAGACACTGTCTTTCCGACAGACCTGGTCTTCACCTGAGGACGGCTGCTTGCGTTGTGGCCGAAACGTCGTTGAGAATTATTTTATTATGTTTTATTATTTTATTACTTTCCTTCTACGTGACTTTACCGAAAGAACCAAGAAGACGTCTCGTGTGTTGCGAATGCCACCAGCCCGGGGTTTTAGTTTCGTCTCTGCACTGCTGGACGACTATGGAGTCTGTCCACCCGCGCGGGTCGTTTGGCCATACTTCACCCCGCTGGTATCAGCGGCGGGTTTGGCGAAGGTGGCGAGTTTGTGGTGGTGGTGTGTGAGACGGGCGAGAGGGGTGAGTAGTCGTGGTCAGGAATCGAACTGAGCTGGTATGGCACGTGTCCAATTTACAAAAGCTTGATGTGCATCAACGTAGATTATTGTATCGAGTTTACGACGAGTGTACGTATACACAGAAGGAAAAAAAATCGATGCTGAAAGCGTATGGAATTATTATAAGAATTATTCTTATAATAGTTGTTATAATTATGAAAATAATTTAACAATAGTCGTTTAAATTTCGATTTAAAGCTTTCGTGACTGCAGGGATTCATCTTCTTGGTTCTTTCGGTAAAGTCACGTAGAAGGAAAATAATAAAACAATACAAATAAAACATAATAAAATAATTCTCACGACGTTTCGGCCACAACGCAAGCAGCCGTCGTTTACCCACAGACATCTGAGTCTCTTATTATTTAAGTGTCCAGGACGTTGCCATACTCCTGATCGTGAGCGGAGTGTATTGCCAGAGAAACCTCCGATTATATTCATTTGAACTCTGGATACAATGCCAATTGAGTCTCAAATATAAAAAAAAAATCTCTCCCAGGCTAAAATCCATTAACAACCCTTTGGGCCACATCGGGAATTGTGGAGATCGCTTAGAGTTAGTGGAACGCGTAGTAGGCTATCGCAACCAATGTTATGCGTAATAAGAGTTTTTGGGTGAGATCGCGTAAATATAAATGCGTCGTTAAAACCCTCCACCACCCGACACAGCCAATTATCAAGGTTTGTCACGTGAACAAAACATGCCAATTCGTTACGAGTACAGCAACACAAGCTGATCATGGCGGTCATTCATCCAAGCCCCGTCCACCTTTAGCCCCGCTCACCTTTGGGGCCGTCCATAAATGACGTCACGCACCTAGGGGGGGGGGGGGGTCAGACATTTGTGGCGATGTGGTGTGACGAGGGGGGGGGGGGGTGAGAAATGTGACGTCACGTAAAAATGCGCAACTTTAAATATAGACAACACGTTCTACTTAATTAAATCGACTTTTTAAATAAATGTGTGCAGAGCCACATTAATGACAATAGTTTAAAGCGATTTGAAGCATGTTTTATTTCGGGGGGGGGGGGGGGGGCAGAGCTATGTGACGTCATATTTGAGGGGGGCGGGTCTGACTTTTTGTGACGCCGCGTGACGAAGGGGGGGGGGGGGGTCAAAAATCGTCCAAAATCGCGTGACGTCATTTATGGACGGCCCCATTCCGACGTGTCACGAGCGGACTTCGATTATTTTTTTTGTTATTTTTATTTTAAATACTTAGAGCGATTCGATGCATCGTCGCTATTCTTTCGGAAGTCGCACCCATAATTGTTACCCGATATTCCTAGAATCATATGGACGGGCTTATAACCACCACCACCACCATACTAATATAAAGATATAGAATAATGTTGAAATATTATCCAAAGCAGCATTCCAATTCCGGACTTTATCTCAACTGAAATTAAGCACGGGTGGGTTGCAAGAAATAATTAAACACTGGGGGGGGGGGGTTGGACTAGTGGGGGGAGGGAGTAGTGGGGGTAGTGGGGAGAGGGGGGGCATACCCCCCCCCCCCCACCTTTCCCACCCACCACCAAAAACCCAGAACGTTGCCAATTTTACCGATATTCGTCTTTGGGCATTTTTTTCCTCCCTTTCCCAGATCCGCCCGTCGGCCATGCGCTTGTTTTTCGTCCGACGCCGACTCCCGTGTCGGAACGGCAAATTGTTCTTTTTACTTTGCAGCGCGAGTGTGTGAAAAAAAAATTACAAAAAATTAACCTGTAAAAACAAAGTTTTTCACTATAAATCCTTTATATGCGTGTTCAATGGGCCACAACCCAGCCCACATTGGTCTTTGAAACGGGCGGCTAGAGTCCTCTCGTCCTCTGGCTTGAGATGGCTGCCACCTATGGGTCAGATGATTGCCTGCCACCGTTAAGCAATTGGTAATTAAATATAATTTTTTTATTCCTAAAAAGTGTATAAATTTGGAGAAAAATTTTCACGAAAATAAATTGTCACGCACAACGAGTCTGTGTGCAAAATGTCAGCTCGATTGGATCACGGGAAGTGGGTTAAAAAAAACGACCGAAAGATTTGCACGGTCGTAAGCGCGCAAGCAAGCAAGCGAACTTAATATAAAGGATTTAAAAATAATAATCGGCGAACACATTGCGGAGTAGAAATGAGTCCAGACTCCCCCCCCCACCCCCCCAAAAAAAGAAGAAGAGAGTACCGTTGACTGGGTCCAAGCGTTCACAGGCAATGACCCATCGTGGAAACATAATAAGGTATTGATCAAAGGCAGCCAATTCAATTATCGCACCCATTACTTTCCTGGCTCCGGGTTGAGGAGCCAGGAAAAGTCGACCTCGGGGTTTTCCCGTCTCAGGTGATAACCACGCGCAAGTTAACTTACCGATCATCGGAGCGCAAAGGCAGCGTGCGACGACGACGATGATGATGGCTCACTCCTCGCTGATTTCGTCACGGAGCATAAACCATGACCACGAACTGAACTCCGGTGATCATCCTCGCAGCGACGGCCGCTTTTGGCTCGGCCATCGATCAAAGACGGTGGCCACCGCACGTCGCGCGCGTTGCAGATTGCGCTTCTGCGGCCGTCTGGAACGTTCTCCCTTCCGATGTTAGGAAGCCACTGGAGCTGAGCATTTTTAAATAATCTGGATTGAAAACTAATTTCTTTTGTGTTCAGTTTAGTTGTCCTTCCCCCTCCCCGCACCTCCGATTAGCACGGTTGGCTATGTACGGTGCAAAAGAAGTTCAACATACATACATACACCTGATGGGCTGCATAAGAACAGTTCCCCTGGAAAGCTGCGTGGGGCTGTGAGCTCACCCCCATTCCCTGGAGAAAGCGCCAATGGCAGCGCATTCCAGTTTCTCAGTGGGTCTGTATGCGAGTCTGCGGGTCTCGGTGTCGGTCGATCGGATGCTATGGGAATCTGTGGGCTATCTTATGTCAGAAGCCACCGCCTGTCTCTCAGTGGGTCTCCGAGCGAGCCTGCGCTGTTTACATGTGCGAGTCTGTGGATCTCTGCAGAGTCTGTGGATCTCTGCAGAGTCTGTGGATCTCTGCAGAGTCTGTGGATCTCTGCGAGTCTGTGGATCTCAGCGTGAGAGTTTGTTGATGAATCCACTCGTTAGAACGTTCCAGTTTCTCGGTGAATCCGCGTTGCGCGCGTCATTACGTGCGAACGGAAGACCGGGGGTGGACTTGGTAGGCTTCCCCAACCACCTGGAGTCGCAATCCGCTCGCCGGGCTAGGCTGTCGGTGTGGAGGACTCGGGTGTGAGGCTCAGCGGCATCACTTAAACCAGCCGTGCTCAATCCACTGCTGCATGAAATCCTCCCCGAGACAGCCAACTCAATTGGACGTCCTCTCAGATGCGTTCCTGTTCCTAGGTGGCCACTCCGTTATTACTGCTGGACATCTGTGGTAAAAAAGCTTCATAGCTCATCGGATTCCTCCTGTATAAATATTCTGATTAAAAAAAAAACATTCTGATTATTCATGAGACGCACGGAAACTGTATTTCTAGGGTTTCTATTTGAAATTTAAAAGAAAAAAAGATCCAAATCGACTGTCGAGGTGTTAATTGCTATTTCATTTTATCCTGGGTTTGTGCCATTTTTTTTGTTTCAATTGCAATTTCCGAAGTGTGAAATCTACAACTGCCAGAGATGGGGGGTGGGGGTGGAGGGGGGAGAGACACCGGGTGATGAAGCAACTACAGAAGCAATGGGGGGGGGGGGGGGACAAGACAGTGGGAAACAACGGAGAGAACGGAGCGAAAGTATAAAATCAGAGACGATTGTGCAGTGATAA